ATGCCAATAAGGATTTAGACGTATGATGCCCCGACACACTACTGTAGTATAAAAGAAGAAGTAAATGGTTATCCATGGTACCATGACCTCGTGCAGTATATGAAATATCAAACATATCCACCATGTGCATCTTAAATTGACAAGAGGACGATCCGAAGAATGGTAGATGGATATTTCCCCATGGGCCCCATTAATCTAATTCACTTTTATTTCAATTTTTGAAACAAAACTTATTTTATTTTGGGCCACCGACCCCGACTTCAATATTATTCAAACACTTTTCCTTGACTTATTTTAAAACCCTTCCCCCCACATTATATATTTTAACCAAACTTTCCCCCTTTTTGTTTTTATTTGGCCACCCAACTCTCCCATTCCTCTTCGTCTTCTTGATTTCTTTGTCACAAAAACTCCACCGTGCATCACCTTACGCCACCACCGTCACTTGCCTAGTCGACCCAAGGTATCATCATTTGTCCTCTTACCTTTATTTTATTCATCTTCTTTTTTCATAACAATGGTGAGAACAAGAAATCAATCTGGCAACCCATCTCAACTGTTGGTCACTCTTGGTAGAAGTCACCACTGTTTCGTCGCACCACCCATCATTGAAGTACTGAGCAGTATTGATTTATTGTCGCGTTCATCGCCTGCTTGCGCCCCCACGCTTGCTGTTCGTCGTGGAGGCTGACGTGCGCCAGAGTCTAGAACATGTTCTTCCTCTCTATAGCCCGTCCATGTTCCACCACTATCGCTACCTTCAGCCGCTACTATTCTGTCGATTTTATGGTGAAACCACACGATTCTACCAGTCCATTCGGACCACGACAGAACCGCCCATCATTGTCATCAAACCCAACATTTTATTCCATGTCGTCAGGATCTTTTTCTCAGTCAATGATGTATGTCGCTCCATCGTTTTCCACTCATTTGGCAGTACTCGAACAACCCGAGGTAAATTCTGAACCTGTCGATATTGAACCTTTTGAACATTTACTAATTTGGCATCTTGTTTTTGGTTATTTAGACGATTTTAGAAGTGATTTCCAGCCAAAGCACCTCCATTGCCTGCTGCCGATTGAGCTTCACCATCTCCCTAATATTCTGGGCAGCCACACGCTTCACCTTCTTTCACTTTAAGCTTGAGAAAGCCCCCATCCACAATGATAATGCTCACAAGTATGCACATTATTCCAAACATCATCGTCGTGGGCGCACATATTCCATTCCGATTGAGGAGGTTCTTTGCGCCTATTTAGACTTTGATGATGATGAAGCTTGGTGGTTTGATAGCATCCGATATCGCAAGTTTTAGGTTTACAAATTCATTCCCGATCACACTCTTTATTCATTGCATTTACGTGATTCAGTTATGCATTACTTTGATGCGATTGGTTGGCGATTATACTCTAAGATTAGGCATAGTGCATTTTATGAGTTGGTATTTGAATTTTATACTATGTTACATTTTTTCCTCATCGTGTCGTAACTAATGAATCGCCCGATGATATATATTTTTGGTTACTTGACAAAATTTTTCTATGTTGCTGTCGGATTTTATTTTTTCCATGGGGTTCATGATGGATGTCCCGGACCACAATTATCTAACCACTTTATATGAGATGCAGCAGAACTTTGATTCAGATATAGCTTATAAGGCACTCATAGGTTCAACCGGTGCTCAATACAATGAAAGGATGAAAAAGGGACGACATATTCACAATCCTGCTCTACGGTACATACACCATTTTTTGGCATATAACTACTCCGGACGTAACGATACTACATCTTGTTTAAGTAAGGTTGAATTATTTTTCTTGTGGTGTATGCAAATTGGTACGAAAGTAAACTTGGGCTTTTGGTTCGCGTGCACTTTTGAGCTAGTTATGCGATATGATCACCCATTAATTCTCGGCCCTTCAATTATTAACCTTGCATCTCAATTATTTCCATTGACATTTGATTCTTCACATTTTACTTATGTTTTTGCAATGCGTGGTATTTCTTCGGAGGAACAAGCCACAAGCGGCGTCGGAAGAGCATTCATAATCGGATGTGCACAATAAACTTCATGAAGTGCATGAACGACTTGATTCCATCGAGACGAACCTTGCTGAGATTCTCTCTTACCTTCGCCCGGGCCTATCTCGACACGGTCATAGTTGAGGCTGATATTAAATAGGGGAGTATTTTAGTCCCCTCTCTTGTGCATTTAATTTTCATATTGGGACAATATGACTTAAGTGAGGGGTGGAAATTGCATCAAATTTTACTTTGCTTATTCAATTGGTTGGACTTTAATTTTTCTTGAACTATGTGTTGAAATTGAATGTTGTCTATCTTATTTTTGCCTTGTTTCCTTGAATTTTCTTGTGAATTTTTAATCTTTTTTATGGAATTTAGGAAGCATAATAGAAATTGGCATGATTAATTGGATTTTCTTTTAAAAAAATTTGACATTCCATGCATTTCATGGTTGAATTGATAGCCTGACCTATTGCAATTAACCTTTCATGTGAGTTTTGAGTCAAATGAGCATATTTTTACATTCTTGCTCTTTGTTAATTTGAATGTGTCTACTAATTTTTTGCATTCTAGAACTTGAAGCATAATGCTTGTCGAGACTACACGATTGAATGTGATGCTTTAGTGTGATAGATACATTAGGATTTAACCCCTTTCTCTTTTCAAAAAAATAGTCTGCCCTTTGATTTGTTTTACCCCTTAGTTACCTAATTTTGAGTCTATTTTTTTACCTCCTAATTAACCCAAGCCTATTTTATTTCGTTTTCCCTCTTTTTGTTACCCTTTTCAAGACAAAGGTGAGGTTGTTTTGAAACCAAAAAAAAAAGGGAGTGTTCGGAAAAAAACCCAGAAAAATTGCATTGTTCGAACAATGCATCTTGGTTCGAACAATGCCAGTTGAGAATGAAAATCAATTTGATGCGAATTTATTAAGTGAACTCAGTAATTAAAAGAAGTGTTAGTTTTCTTTAAGTCATGAGTTCGAATAGTTATATTTGTTGGTTGTATATTGTTAATTACTAAGAAATATTATAATCATATATTATCTTATAATTATTTTCAACTATTAAAATTTTTTTTAAAGTAATATGTTATGAATTAGACTGGTTGAATCTCAAACCAAATTTAAACCTTCAAACCAAAATTAACAATTCTGATGGGAAGTCGCATGTTTAAAATTTAAAAAATATATTGGATCTTAATTTGTATCATTGTTGGTCAATTTTAATTGTATGATTGAAAATATATGAATATATAATTTTCAGTTGAGAAAAAAATCAAACGAGAAAACTATCATTGAGGTTTGAAACACTAAGCGGATAAAATCAAAGGTAAATGTTTTTTCTCTGAAGCAATGATCCCACCCACGAAAACACAACAAATGTTTGTAACAATTATCAAAGTAAGATAAAACTTTCATAAAAATTTCAGGGAGCTTAACGAGCAATAAGAATAGCAACGAGCATCGATCTTAAGGAACAACGAGTCGAGCAATAAGTTTTCTTAATGAGCATGAATCGAGCAAAATTTTAACAAATTTAATGAGCAACGAGTCGAGTTGAGCAACAAATTATTTTAACAAACACGAGTCAAACAATGTCTAGCTCGCACTCGACTCACTCGATAAACACCCCTAAATATGACAATTTCTTATATTAAACATGTAATGGAATAGATATAATATCTAATTGACACATCAGCATAAAAATTTAAAATTAAAATTATTTAAATTTATTTTTGATGATGTATTATTATCTAATTCATTAATGATATATATCATTATACAGAATTCGATATATTTACATTATTGTTTTTTTATAGATAATTTGATGAATAAAAAAAGGAAACGAGAGACAATTTGCCCCCACATAAGGTTCCTCTTGTGCCATTCGTAAAACATTCACCTCATGGTCATACGACTATAGTCCAAAACATATGTTGGATAATATGTGCCATTGACGGCGAAAACATATGTTGGCCTTTCACTCTTCAAATCTTAGATTCTTATCTAATTCTCAAGATTTTAGAGACCCACCGAAGGCCGAAACTCCGATTCCCAAATTTTGAAGTTTTTTAGGTTTAATACCTGAATTAATCCTAAAGGTATATTGTTTTGTTTTTTCACTTTAAACTTTCAATTTTTTCTCCAAATCAGAATATAATGTTTTTGTTTCTTTTTCATATTAGTCTCTACGATTATCAATGTTATTAGAAAGGATGGATGCATGACGCTTATTAGAATGTACCATATGACACCCCCAACCAAAATAAAATGATTAAAGTGAGAAAATAAGTATAGTTAGGACCAAATCATGTATTAAGTTAAAAATATATACAAACTTCAAAAACACTTTTTTTCGAAGATTTGGATGGTTAAATTTAAGCACGAGTAGATAAGGATAGATTGAGAGGGCGAGTGTGACGGTCACTCTCATAAATTTAAAATTATTTTCTAATGTATTTTTTATTGAAAATCTATTTTATAATTTTGTAAAATTTGTCCCCTTTTAAAATTTAGAGCTTTTTCCCATAACATAAAATTCTACGTTCATCTTTACGTACAGATAATGCTATTCGAATCCGAATTACTTGAGGAGAACAAACTATATATTTTTTAAAAAAAAACATTTTTTATAATTTAATTTCTTTTTCTTTTTAAAGAATTATTCCTGCATGTATTGCTATCTGGTCCACAACAAGAACTCCACGTGCTTTGATTAGAAGTTTAGGGTGGATCCATGTTATAGTTTGTTGCCTTCACCCTCAATATTCATAAATATGGAGAATTGAACAAGTAAAAAACACAATGAATCTTCTCCACATGCCTTCTTTTCCCATGTGCCCTTCTTCCCTTTCTTTCATGGGTTTATCCTAAACAATTTACACAAGTTTATAATACAATATCTTATCCTAATAGCAATTCGTTATATATTTAATTTGAATTAATTTTAATTCAATATGTTACATTTTAGACAGCAAAATCCAGATTCCACACAAAATGTTATACATGTCATATTTCCTTTTCTTTTTCAGACATGTTACAGCTATCGCTTGAATTAATGCATCAAACCAAATGATCACTTAAAAACATCTCGTATAATAAAAGACAGATTGTTACTCTTATGCAAACAACAAATTTTACGCATTTGTTTACGTATTTTCATGGCTACCAAAATCGGCAGCAGCTTGGGCGGCACATCTCAACTTATCGGAAACCCAAAGCGCCCCCTTGGAGAAGTAGCTGCTATTGACTACAGCATTGGCAGCGGCTACAGCAATTCTCCCGGTAAAAGTCACCGCCATTAAAGCTGCTTTCCCGGTAGCTAATGCAACGGACTTGGTGATATCTGAAACATGATACTTCTCATCCATTGATAATATAGTTTCCATGCTGGTGTTGATGTCTTTGGTAAGGCCGATTCTATTGCTAAGCTCAGCAACTTTGGCTGCTGCAGTAGCTGAGAGCCGATAGGATTCGTCCAGCTCTTTGGCCTTCATAATGGCATCTTTGTCCAAAACATATCCCTTGCCCAGCATCGTTTTGACAACAGATACAGCTTCTCCGGGTGTCAAAATAAATCGGTCCACATGAGTAACCTTATGGGATGGTTGAGGATGGGCACTCAACCCGAACCAGACGGATTTCGATCCGACCCGATCGGGTCGGATTTTGTTAAAAAAAAAAGGAGGTTCGAGTCGGGTCGGGTTTTTTTAAGTGTGATATTCGAGTCGGTCGGGTTCGGGTTTAGGATGAAAAATACTCGACTCGACCCGAAAAAATATATAATTTTACCTTATATATTTATGAATAATTTCAATAATACCCCTCTATATATAATTTTTTTAATTAAGTCACTGTTTTTATTAAATAAAAATATTTTTATTTCGAGTCGGGTCAGGTTTCTAAGTTATATATTCGGGTCGGATCGAGAGGACCAAAAACCCGACCCATGTCCATCCCTATTACATTGATGAATTCATAGAGAGCAACTCAAACTACAAACTTTTTTTTTTTTGTCATACAAATGCAGAAAATGTTCCCATGCTCTGTTACTGAAGAACAGCAAGCAAGACTGATGCAGAGTACAGGCATCACAATGATTTCAAACATGTTGATAGTTCCTAATTATTTCACCCAATTGATCCATTGTCTCGAGCATCGATTTTGAACCATCCGAAGGATATGCATCGTCCATGTACGATCCCCACCTTGATATGCATACAGACAGATCAACAATCATAGCTCCCTGATACATCAAAATTAAGAGATTACCTTAACAATGATCATAAGAATGAAGTCGTGTTTGCAAGGTTTCCCTACCAAAATTCACTATTTCCTCAAAAAACCTATTAGATCAACATTTGCATTTATAATTGCGATATGCTTATGTTATGTTTTGATATGGATAAGGATGCAAACATATTTAGAATCCGTAAAAACATCTTCATCCATGTTTATTAATATACAATAATTTTATCTTCTGTTATAACTATACAGCCTATATTACCAGTCATACATTTTTTCCGAGAATAAAGAGCAGGCTGCTTGTCTTTCGAGAATTAAAAAGTTGCAGTCGACCAACTCGGTATCACTATTACCAGTTTTCAGTTTATGGGCCAAAGTGACATGAAGCTGAGTTCTGTGATTAAAAAAACCATGTATGTGCTAAATCTCTTAAGAATGACTTAATGAAAGTACTAGGACCTATATATTACACACACAAATTGAGGAATTAGACTAATATACATCAAATGAGTTGCAGCCTTACATGGAAACTGGTTTATGGGCTAGATCAGTACTAATACCATACCATACCATACTCCATATGTTTTGATGCGCATAGAATGATATGGTTACATATGAAAACCAAAATGATGTTACAGGAAAGAAAATGATCAAAACCAAAACTATGGATACAGAGTAAAACCGCAGTTTGCAGCGAATATGGATCTTCAAATGTCAGTCACATATGCTGTGCACGAGTCATCCCCGCATCTGTTTGCAGTGAAGAGAGCATGAATTTGAAGAAATAACAGCAAAAAAGACACATCACAAGCAGATACGAGTAGGACACAATTGCTGTAATAAACAGACAGTCACATATGCAAGAGATTGACATAAACACACCAGAAACTACTTCACTATTGGTATCAGAATCACCACGAATACTGTTCGGTTTAAAAGAATGATCAATTTATATGCTAAACGTTCATCAACTAACCACATCAAATCAAGGCGTTTCTTATAAAGATTGCCATGTTCATAAACTAATCACAACTTGAGTAGGGTAAACTAAACTCTCATTAGTTCAAGAAGTATGCCACAAGCAAGGAAACACGCAGTTGTTGGTAAGCTGTATCATTCATACATCTTCGAAAAGTATAAAACAGGAAAACGTTTCAGACGAAGAAAGTCTTGATTTTGATTTGAACTCTAAATTTTTACAGGGAATCATTTGCTTGCCATAAATATAGAGACTGAGATTATGAATTATCCAACACAAGGAATCATTTCAGACAAAAAAGGACTTCATAGCTTTTGACTTTTCGTCTTCCACGAAGAACCAGTAATTTCTGAACAAAATCATGAAAGATATAGCAAAAGTGTACCTACCTGATGATTCCAACATGCTGAATTGAACCGCAATATGCCAAAAAGTCAACATCCTTCTCCGTAGCTTTTGGAGATAATCTTGTAATTTCAGCAGTGTAGCCGCCGTGGTACATTATCTTAATCAATGCTTCTTCTTCGGTGAGATAAAAGCCAGCTGATGATTCAGATATCAGTCATCGATCGTAATCGATGCTTTATAATGTTGAAAACTTCGCAATTTCATTGGAAAAGGCCATTTCTTTCTTTGGGGAGAGAGCTAAGCTAAGGGTGATGTAGGAGATAATAGGCATTAGAATGAGGGTAAATTACAATAAAAGTCCGTTAATATTTGAATAAATTTTTGTTTTTTTATATTTTAAAAATAATAAATTAATTATTAATATTATTAATTTATAACAAATCGATTAATAGACGCTAACCATCATTTTCTATGTGTGATGGAAGTTTAATATGATACGTTAGCCACTAATTTAACACAGTATAATTACTATTTTAATATGTGTTTCTCTTTCATCTCCTCTCTCTCATCATCACACTTCTTTTAACTCCCAAAAAATAATATTTCTATTTAATCTTCCCTCTACGTGCATGCACTACTCCCAATGGAAATATAATATATATATATATATATATATATATAATAAAAAGTCATGCTCCAGTTTTATACTGTTTGAGGTTGCCTAAAGCAATCAATTTTCTTATTTTGGATATTGATTTTTATAAATGAATCCTGATTTTAGTTTCTGGTCATTTATGAAGGTCTCATTAGTACTATCCAAGTTTCTCACCAGAAGATTCAAATTAAAAAGATATATGAATCATTTGTAATTAAAACTATTTTTCTTCTTCTTCTTCAAAGCTATTAATACAATACATGTTGCCACATCTGCTTTATCATGGAGACGACCAATAATCATTTATTAATTTATAGATAATTATTTCAACATATCAGGTGACCGGTAAATAAAAACAGAGTTAGGGTCTGTTTGTTTAGCTGTAATTGGTTTTCCAGAAAATGAATTACTGGAATTTGAATTACTGGAATTTGAATTACTGGAAAATGAATTACTGGAATTTGAATTCTGGAAAATGAATTACATTTCTGTAAAATGAATTACATTTCTGGAAAATGAATTACATTTCTGGAAAACATCTGGAAAACGTTTTATGATGTTTGAAAGATATTATTTAAACATTTTTTCGGTATATTTTAGTGAAATAAAATTTTATAAATTATATTTAATTATTTATTAAAGTAATACTACTATATTATATTTTAAAAATATTAATTAGTATATTTTAATATCTTTACTAAAATATTATTGAAATATATAAATAATATTATTCATTATTAAATATATAAAAAAAATTTATTATATATTATTAAAATAAAAATATAATATCTTATATTATTATAATATAATTGATTATTTTATAATATTAAAAATATAATATTATATTATTATAAATATTAATAAATATATTTTAAATATTTTAATAATTAATATTTTGATGAAAATGATATTAAAATATTTTATTAATATTAAATTCATAAAATAAAATTATTTTGAGTATTTTTGCTTTGAAGTGAAAAGTTCGGAAAATGACTTACGGAAAATGAATCCGTAAGTCATTTTACAGAAAACACAAAGGAAATTCTGTTACTAGGAAAATGAATTACATTCCGGAAAATGAATTACGTGAAACAAACACGGGAAAACGTTTTCCGGAAAACGAATTACGTGAAACAAACACGGGAAAACATTTTCCGAAAAACGAATTACGTGAAACAAACACTGGAATTCGGGGAAAACCAATTCCGTAATTCGAATTACGGGAAACAAACAGACCCTTAACTACATAGTTTATTACACATGTTTCTGTTTTGTCAATTTTTTCTCATTGATCTCAAAAAGCATAATATATTGTCATTTTTATTTTTATTTAATTAAGATACGATCAATTTCGTTTTTATTTAATTGAGATATTGTCATCACGAGTTAACTGTTTTTAACTAGGTGAAATGATATTTTGGTATAATCACACATTTAGTCCTTGTTATTTACATATACTCTTAATTTAGTCATGATTTTAATACATTTAATCATCCAATCGAATGATGTCACGTGTCATTGGTGCCACATATGATCATTCAGTTGAAGGACTAACTTTATTTTAATTTAATATATTTATTTTAATTTATCTGATTTGTGGAAAATAAATATATTAAAATAAAATTAGTCCTCCAACCGAATGGTGACATGTGGCACGACAAGTGGTACTAGTGACATGTGACATATTCAATTGGAGGGTTAAATTTATTTTAACTTATTAAAAGTATGACTAAATCGAGAGAATATATAAATAACAAAGACCAAATGTATGATTATACCAAAATATTTAACGACAGATAACTAGTGATGACTACATCGTAATTAAATAAAACGAAAGTGACAATATATTATATTTTTTTTAAATCAGTGAGAAAAAATGGACAAAACACAAACATAAGTGATTAATCATATAGTTAACCCATAAAAATATTATTATTCGTAAAAGTTTTAAATTTAAACAACTCGATATATATATATACACAATATATTTTATAATCATCACGTAATATTAAAAAATAAAATAAAAATATACAGTGATAATATATAATGTATTCTCTCTTAAAACTATGACGTTGCAGTAACTTTTTTTTTTGGAACGACAGTAAAAAAAATTAATTATTGATGAACAATCAATATTTTCAACAACAACAAAAAAATAAAACAAAAACCATCAAAAAGTGCAAAAGCCCAATAAAAGTACAAAGGAGAAGAATGATTAAAGCCCGAGGGGCTAAAATTTCTAGGGAGCTTTTGGGCTGACTTTTTGTTATCTCTCGTTCACTTCAATAATTTTCATTCCTCAGACATTAAGCAAATTGCTTAAAAAGAACTTCGCCTTTATTTTATTTTATCTTTTTGGTATTCTTTTTCTCCTTTGATTATTGCCCCCGACATGCATGCAGTTGTGACCCAAAAGTCAACTTAATTGCTTCTTCTTAACTACTAAAGGGGAAAAAAGAAATTCAAAATCACTCTCCCTCGAAAATCATTAAAATTTATAAATTAATTTGACCTTCTCGATTTATTTTTTATCAAACTTTCATTTTAAGTTCAATTATAAAATTATTAAAAAATAAATTTATAAATAAACTTAATAATGTATTGTTCTTGTTATACATGCAATTGATTTAATGTCTTTATCGGAATGATTTTTTTCTTATATTATTATTTTTTCCATCAAACAAATAGTTAAAAAAATTCTCAAAATTATTTTATACGTATGATTTATATAAATAAAATATTTATTTAAATTATATAAATAAAATATACATTAACTTAAAATTTATGTATGAGTTTAAAATTTACCCTTAAACTGAACAAGTTTCTGCAGCTACAGAGAGTAGAGCATGTGCTCTAAGGGCTAGACTTTTTGACGGGTCTGTTTATGAAATGGATATTTCCTGCAACTCCTGTGGAAACACATAAGCGTACAGCTCAGAGGAGAAATCCGTATTTTGATTCAGCTTCTGAGTTTTCCTTTTCCACATGTTTCTCTGAAAATGATTTCACTCACAATATCATCCTAATATTTATCTAATTAATCGCTTTCAAATAGGTTGATGGCCACTTAATCACCGACAAAAACCTGTTATGATTTAATAGTTATATTTTAGCATACAGTCAAACATGAATATCATGATATAATTTGTTTTATTTATATGAAAAAGGTTTAAACATACTCATAATCGATGTTGTTCTAAATTGGAGATGAGTTTGGCATTACAATCAAAGGCTTTGCTAGTGCCAGTCATCTTGTAATACCAAGTAATTACAGTACGCACATGCGTCTTAAAATATTTGTTCTACTGACACCGAACCCTACTGTAATAATAATAAGTTGGGTTTTATTATTCCACAAGTAAACTCCTAATTATAGCAGCCTCGGCACTGTCGGCGTCAATGGTAGCCAAGAGCTGAGAGAGACGCTCACTTAGATCATCCACCTCCTTCTGCAAGTTCCTGATATAGTTGCATGTCTCTTGTAAAACCTTGGATGCTGATACCTGCACCAGTTAAGTGAAAATTACATCATCGTTTTAACTAGAATAATTAACCACATGAAGTAACTAAATGTTATGGAGTTACATGTGAATTCACCGTATCATGTCATGATGGGTAATTTAAAACTTTGTTGTGACAAGGAAAGGTCAAACATTTCCTGGACATTGGGGGGGGGGTTCAAATTTGCAGACTGTGTTTTCAAAAAGACTAGTATTATTCTAACTGAAAAAACTATTCCCATGGGGTACATGCACCAGCGGAAGTAGTACATACGTTGTCAGGCCTTTAATTTTCTTTTCCCGCTTCTGTTCACATACATGTAATAATTCAACTTCCTTTTCTTCACTTCAATTCAAAGAAGAAGAAGAAAAAATGGATTTTAAAGTACCTTGTCAGATCGGCTATTGCGGATCTCCGGAAGAAGCTGCCTTAACTTGGAGACAAGTTCAATGATTTGATCGTCGGAAATCCGGGAAACGCCTCCGGCAGACTGCCTGGACGACCTTCGATTCGACATCGTCGAAATGAGCACGGAGTTTATTGTTTGAAAGAGAGCTGAATGCAAAGTGTATATAAGGGAAAATGCTGTGGGTTTGAAAAGAAAAAGGAAATGAAAAAGGGAGCGATGTTAGATGAAGAAATGGAGGAAGGGGGAAGAGGGATATAAAAAGGAAGAAATGAAGGACCACCTGTGGAGAGAGAGAGAGGATACATTAAGAAACAAAGTGATGTTGGATGTGAAGAAGACAAGTGCATCGAAGCAAGCAGAGTTTGGGAGTTAACAAGGCTTTGATTTTTAAGTCAAATATTAAACATTTTTGTGTTAAGTTAGACTGTATTCTTAATTATAAATTTAATTTCCAACTTTAGTTATAATATTTTTGTAAAAATAATTATAAATTTTAAATATAAATAGTATATAGTATATACATAAATTAAAATAAATATGTAAGAGATAAAAAATAATAATACATTTTATATCTAAATAAATGTAGACCAACACCTGTTTATGATTTTATGTATAATAGAATTTGAATCTAATAATGATAAACCTTACTTATCTTGTAAATTTCATAACGACCCACTACAAATTTGATTTATATATAAACACACACTACAATTTTTGTTTCTTTATATATGTTTTTAGATATATGAATGATATGATATTTTAGATTCTTTTAAAGTGCTTAGAGGAGAATAAGTCAGCACTACGGGTAGTTTTACAGTACGACAACTTAATAAAAGGCCAAGAAAATACGTTACTGAAAATGTTAATATTTTTTTAATATTTTCGGTAAAGCGCTGCCTAAAATGTTATTTTTTTATCGAAAATGTTAATTTCGCTACCTAAAATGAATATTTCCGATATTAATATTTTCAATATAAAAAATAACATTTTAAGTAGCATCCGATTAATATTTTCGATAAAAAAAATAACATTTTAGATAACACTCTACCAAAAATATTAAAAATTCCGATTATACCTTTTCTTAACCTTATATTAAGTTGTATTTCCTTACACATCCTAACACTACTGTTTTGTTGTTTAATCTAAGTTATATTTTAAAAATATTTCTATTATATTGAAGATTCCAAGTTCGTACTAGATTTAGCGGTGGTGCATTTAATATAAAGTTTATTATTACAGCCGGTGTTTTGAAAATCGGATCGGTCGGTTCAATCGGGAATCGCTGTCTAGTCCGGTTTAATTTACATCGGTTGAATCGTTACTAGTGAACCGGCCAAAACCGCTGAACCGTTCAAACCGGACCGGCTAAAAACAAAAAAAAAACCGTTAATTTTGTTTTTTTTTAAAAAAAATTAAACGAAACGACGTCGTTTGTTAAACGAGCCAAGTCGAACTCGAGTATTGTTGAGCTCGACTTGAACTTGAAAACTTTAAAAGTAAGCTCAACTCGACTCAAACTAACGAGCTAAAAATTATCAATTTCAACTCGAACTCGAAATATAATACTGAAACATGAACTCAAAAAGGCTTGAACTCAAAAAAATTAGAAGCTCGATTGAAGCCTAAAATTCGAGCTTGATTGAAGTGAAAAAATAGTTCACTCAATGCTCACCAAAATGCTCCATGATTTTGAATGTCAAATTACCTCTATTATTTATAGAAGTTAGTTGCTTGGCCATGTGAGATTGTTTTGTTCTCATATTTTTACTCTTTAGACTTTTGGGATGCTCTTTTATGTTTCTTAGCCATGTAGGTTTGTTTTTTTTTTAAATAAACCAAACAATATCATTTTGTTATGATTTTTTTAGCCCCAAATTTATTTTTTAATTATAGTTATATAATTATATTTATTATTTAATTTGTTTTACCTTAAATATTATGTTGTAGTTCATTTGAATCATTTTGTTTCACTTGATTTTATGGTTTTTAAATTATATATGTTATGACTTGCTTTGAAAATGACTTGTGATATAAAAAATTATTTTTTATTAAATATTTTTGGTATTTTTATTTAATTTTTTAAATAATTATGACGTCGTCCGGTTCTTTCAATCGGTCGGACCGGTTCGACCGGTTAAACCAGTGAACCGGTAGCATGGCCTGTTCGCTAACTAGTCCGGTTCTGAAAACCATGATTACAGCTAAGGAGTGTTAGTTCAAGTGGTTGAAATTCAAAATTTTGAGTTTGTAAAGTCAAGTTTGAATTCTACCATCATCACTCTTAGTGTACATTCTATAAATTCCTAAATAAATCTCAATTAATTCTTAGGTAAATCTCTAAACTTTTTGTAACAAAGAAAAATATTATTACAAATAATATGTCAAATTAAGATTCAAAAAAACTGAAAGATTCGTTATAAGTAAAATATGTTATTATAAAATTTTGGGAGTGGGACGGGGTCGGGTTTAAGGTAAAAAAATTAATGATATTATTCGACTCGATTAATATATATATATATATATTTAATATTTTAAGAATTTTTATTTTTATATTATTAAAATATATTATTTAATTATTAAAAATATAATAATTATTATAAAATAGGTGGAAAAAACCTAAAATCCATCGGAGTGAAGTAAGATCAGGTTTTAAGTATATATTTTCAGATCGCAGACGGAACAACTAAAAACCGACCCCTCCCGTGTTCATCGCTAACAAATATTTCGCTTACATGTTTTTTATACTATTTTATGAAGTTTTAGTATTTTATTAAATTATAAAATAATTAAACATCCGACATCCAATCTTCATTGTCAAACTTTATTGGACCTCATTACGCATCCATTACTCATATGCCAAATTCAGTTACCTATTTACATGATATTTATTGTTATTATTAAACATGCTAATTGTTAGAACCTATCAACTAGATTCAATGGGTAAAAGAAGTGTTTTTCTTTTTTTAAAACAAAACAAAGCAGCTGTCTACCCCATGTCAAGACCTGATGCTCTTGGAGGACCAAGTCTGCCACTTCCACCGGGGGTTCCATGAAGACATTCGTTCCGACGGGAGCACCTCGACTCATTGCCGCCAGACGATCAGCGATACTATTCTCATCTCGGCTGATATGTTGGATCTTAACACTCCAATCTCGACCCCAAAGCTCACAGACCATGACAGTTAAAGCGCTCCCTGCTAATGCATCCGAAAAACTGTTGCCAATTCTGTAAACCTCAAGATTGTCCGTCTCAACTTCGATATGTTGAAAACCAAGTCTCCATGCATGTGATAATGTATCATGAAGTGCCCACAACTCAGCCAAAAGTACCGAGCATCATCCAAGACTTCGAGAAAACCCGAAGATCCAATCATCCTCCAAATTCCGAAGCACCCCCCAGCCGCTGCCATGCTATCACTAGGACGAACAGCCCCATCCGAGTTTCCTTTTATCCAACCAGAAGTGGGTCGAGACCAAGTGGGTCGACTCCGGGGGGGGCCAAAACAGCAGCATACTCATCGTTTTCACAGTTTGCAGCCAAAATTTCTTGAATGAGCCGGTTGCAAATGATGCTAAAACCTTCTCTTTGCACATAATGAGAATTAAAAACACATTACAACGGTGTTTCCAAAGCTGCCAGCAATACAAATCCACTATATTTACAAACCTTTAAGGATAAGGTGTAACCTTACAAAGACACAGAAGTTTTATACCTGAAACCTTGCTTACACACTCTCCTAAAGAGAAACTACAAATTTAGCAAACAAAAGAAAAACATCACAAAGGCAAATGTGTTTGCACTAATTAAGCCACCAAAAATCATACTTGAGCAAAATTAACAATGTAGCTCACAAGTGTGTTACAAAAGTTTTGACAATTTTTGCTTTAAAACACTATTGATGTTGGTTTGATCTTGTAATTGACTTTCTTGTTGTTCTCCATTTAAATCTTAGTCCATTTTATGTCTTCTAACATCAATCTAACCGTTTGGAGTCGTTGGGGATTGAACATAGTCGTTGGATTTATTAATTTTGAGCATTTGCTCACCTTCACATTTGGTCTTCGATATCGAGAGGTTGTTCTCGAGACTGAGCCTTCCAACGGTCAAATTTATAGTCGTTGAACCAACAGTATCGATATTGTTTGAATCAGTATCGATGCCAACCCACCGCTCTCGAGATTGAGACCATAATATCGATACCAAAATGCATTCTGGAATTTTGGTATCGAGATTGCCTTAATGTTCTCGAGACTGGATGGTGTTTTGGCTAAAAATTAAGTGTTTTGAGCTTAAAAATGATATCTATAAAATGTTAATATACTCAATAACACTTATAATTATTTTTCAAGCTTAAAAATGCTTTAAAAACGTTTATGATAAATTATTTATCAAATCGTGAATTATAAATTTTAACAACTCAAAACATTAAAAAATAATGTTATATCAAAATCAAAGGTTAGTTCAACATTTTTACAGAGATAGCATTGAGTTTCCACATATCATTTAATATATATCCTCTATCGACAAATATTTCCCCTTAGACAAAATTAGCTTTTGGGATTCAAACACTATCCTAAAGCCATGAACACTCAAGAGTGTTCTAGAAACAAGATTTTTATGTATGTCAAGCACAGACAAAACATTTTGCTACTTGAGTTCTTTGTCAGAAGTCATCTTCAAGGCTACAGTACCCTTCCCCTTGATCATGGAAGTCGCAACATTGCCCATGTAGAGTTTCTCCCCATTGTTGTAAGGTATCAACTCAGAAAATAAATCCTTGTCGCAACAAATATGACTTGTGACTCCAGTGTCAAGCCATCATTCTCTTGGGTTAGAGTCAACCAGGTTGACTTCAAAGATCACAACACATAGATTCAAGTCTTCCACGTTCTTGACAATTCCTTTCATTGCATTTGCTTCATGAGTTCTGACCTTTTTTTAATGTTTGCATTCAATAGACTTGTGCCCCATCTTTCCACAGTTGTAGCACTTTCCTTGGATTTTTTCTTCATGAAAATTTCACCTTTAGGTCCTATCTTTGACCTACTATTAGGATGTTTTTCCTTTTTTAAGTCCTTAACTTCTACCATATTTACCTTAGCCTCTTTGAAGGTTTTTTTTGTTGAGCTTTTTGGATTGACCTTTATTGTCTTTTTCTATTCAAAGTTTGACAATTAGTTCTTCCACGATCATTTTCTTCCTTTTAT